TATATGTGTGTGTGTGTATGTATGTATGTATATATATATGTGTGTGTTTGTTTGTTTGTATATATACACCTATATATTCAATATATGTGTATGTATATACCTACATATTAATATATATCTATCTATCTGTAACCCTTAATCAGATGGGTCCTGGGTGGCATGAGTTGATTGAGATGACGTTGGATGTGGATCAGGAGCGTCGTGCCACTATGGCTGAGATACTCGACCACTCGTGGCTCATCAGACAGCGCCAGAAGGACATCGCACAGCCCTCCAACTTAGACTCATCAGGTGTGTGCTTACGCATCATATATTGTGCTTGTATGGGCAGGTCTATAGTTATATGTGTATGTGGTTGTATATGGACTCTTGTGTATATGGTTGTATATGGTTGTATATACATGTGTATATGTTTTATATATATATATATGTATCTGTATTTATTTATACATCTGTATACATTTATATATTTGTATATATTTATATAGTAAAATATATTTCGAACATCGTGTGTTTCTATAGTTGGATTGTGTAAACTCGATCACTTATGGCTCACAAACAGTGCCACATACACATTACATAGCCCGCCATTTGAGCTTCCACAGTTCGGTAACAGTCTTTACATATTCACCTGTCCTTCACCTATCCACCTACCTTTCACCTATTCATCTATCTGCGTACCAACACACATTCGCGCTGACTTGTTGTGTGTACAAGTGTCTATGAGCTGTTCATAGTACTGTCCACAGTGTTGTCCAGGAGTGGTTATGGTTGGTACAGATATGTCTATGTTGTCACTCGTTGATTCCGTTTGGTTTGTTGTTGTGCACATATAACTCACACACACCGACGCACTCTGGGCAGAAAAATCACGCATACAACACACGCACACACACGCATACACACGTACACACATACGCATACGCACAAACACGGTCACACACGTACACACACACATACCCACTTCACCATCCCTTGCACACCCTACCACCTTACACTCTAACTATACATCTACTATCCATTTACTATACATCTAGCATCCATTTATTATACACCTGCTATAAGTGTACTATCCATTTACTCTGTATCTGGTTGTTCCCACTGCAGCCGCCCGGCGGAGGCAATACCAACGCGACGCAGATGCCATGGTAGGTAAGACCCTCTATGAACTGCAGGACGTGCAGGAACTCATCAACAGCCCCGCCGGCCAAACGGTCAATGGGTGGCGGCGCCTGCCCCAAAAACAGGACACCAAGGACAGGACCGGTGTGGACGTGTTTGTCCCGACAGCCGAGCCCCCGCGCAAAAAGGGCGAACTGCCCAGGAGTGTCATACACTTTGCGGCGCAGAGTCTGGTGGTGGGCAAGATGAATCTGCTGATGCAACGGTACGGTGGGCCTGGGAAGGGGGTGGTTTAGGGTTGTAGGGTTTGGTGTGGCTGTGTGCTAGGGTTTAGGGTTGTATGTTGTATGTTGTATTTTGTATGTCATTGAAATGGGAGACTTGTACGGGTCTGTGTGTGTGCAATACACCACATCACGTGCTCTAGGGGTTCGAGCGGTTAGGTTTAGGGTTTTGGGGTTTATTGTTGCACACAGGACAGCATACCAAGTGGGGATATACCTACCTCAACTGGTACGGCACAACACCACAACTGACACTGACAGACCATGTCCTATCCTCTACCAGTCCTAAACGTACAAGCAGTATAACTACAATTGTCACTCTACTGGTAGCACAACTACACAGGCTTAACCCCATCACCTGTCGACCCCTCTGTTGCGCATGCACACTACGCACGATTAGGTGGGGCACGTGGGAGAAGCTGGTAGAGACACTCTTCACAGACACCAACAAGATAGAGATCTTGGACGACGACGACTACATCGGCCGATGGGCGGATGTGCCAGAGACATGCCACGACAGAGTACCACGCGACATGGTCACCCTCAACGCACGCAGAGATATACAAGTATGTAAATATGTATGTATAT